GTAATTCGTGGCCATGGCAGGGAAGGAACGATGAGATGAGAAGGACGGTGGAGACTCAGGTTGCCGCCCGTCGGTCTGTTGCTTCTTTTACTCCATCATAACTATGAGGAGCGTCCTCGTTACAGCTTTGTTGAGTCATCCATGCATCAAGAACGACTCATCCTCCGTCCTCTGACCCACCGATCCAACGCTTATAAGCAACCCGCGTACTTAAGGTGACTTCACCCATGGTACTCTGACCGCATCTGCTGCTCATCCTCCGCCGCACCAAAGGAATGTCTCAACATGATGATATTACACAATGACGGTACACTTTTCGGATCCTGCACATTTTTACGTCTACACAACTGGTACACGTATTTCGCATTTTTCAAAATTTCAAAATTGCAGCCTCTCGGGTTTCCAACTCCCCCCTTCGACCCTTTCCTCTTCCTCCACACCTTTGCATCCATCGTGGGACACATAAATTCACAAACCCTCATGTTCCCGAGCTCCTGCAGTCTCGTCACTTTCTTTTCACTGGACATCGTGTGGAGCTTGAGGCTGCGCAGTGGTCGAAAACGTGTGCATCGATCCCTCTGGCGCCCGCCAGGGGGCAGTCGGGAGTCTTCGGCGCATTCATCCCTGCATAAATTCTCACATGTCCTAGCTCACCACACAATATCCGTACCCGTCATACTCCCACGATCTTTCTCTCTCATGCCGACATCCTAAGAAGGCTTGTTCCTCCTCCTCTCCGCCCAGGAGGCTCCACTTGCCTTTCCCCTCCCCCGCCTCCCCTCGCTCCACTTCCTCCAACAGCATTCGGAAGGCCCTTTCAACGTCCACGTTGTGTTTGGCCGATATCTCCAGGAAGGGAATGCCTAATGTGCGTGCCAATGCTCTGCCTTCCCCCTTTCCCACCTGCCGCTGAGCGCATAGATCCAACTTGCCCCCCAACAAGACACGTGGCACGGGCGAGTCGCCGTGGTACCGCAAAACGACCTCGTTCAGGGTTTGGATAATGGTAAAAGATTCGCGGGAGGTGATGTCGTAGACAAGCAGGTAGCCATGAATGCCGATAAGCGCATTGCGGGAGAGGAACCGGCTGAATTCTTCCTTGGCGTACTCTGTGTACTGCCTGGTAGGCCCTGGCGTGTCCACTATATCGCAGCACACGAGCTGCGTCGTTTTTTCGTGGCTACTTTTCCCTTTTGCCACCCCTCGCTCCTCTCCTTCAGTTTCCAACACCTTTCTGTACAGAGATTCTTCATCCGGGTCTGCCGCCGATTGGATCGTAAACTTCTCTTGAACGAAACGCCTGGTCACACTTGACTTCCCCGCCCCCCGATGACCTACGACAGCAAACTTGCGGTGCACTACTCCCAGAAGAGGCGGAGGTCGTAGGGAAGGGGGAGGACGAGGCGAAGTGGAGGAGGGCGGCATTTCAAACGGCAAACCTAGGCAGGGACATGAATGTTGGTGGGTGCGAGTGGAATCGGGTGGTCAAAAATAGTACAAGATCGTGGGGCACATATCAGAATGGATGAATTTGATCATTTCATCCACATGAACGCTGTTTAACGTATCCTTTGGTCCCTTTTAAGCAACAAAATTTTGAGAAAAGGTAGTCACCATGTCGGGACGCAACACAAACGTGCATCACGCCTGATCTTTCAACACCTCCGTCACGAAGCTACGAAATCGCACTCAGCGTGCCACAAATTGTAAATGACACAGCCATCAAATTGGAGGCAGAAATTCTCTATCAATTTGTTGTCGTGGGACCGTGGACTTGGTCGTCCTAGCCAGCTTTCCCAGAACATGGAACTTACGAAATTTTCTTTCGAGACAGTCAGGAGGTTATTTCCAGGAAGAGTCGGAGGCAAACTGCCCCGTGCATAGCATACCGTCCTTTTATCCATTGGCCTTGTCCAAGGTCCTTTTTGGTTCGATCATGTTCGTAGGCACGATGGCATCGGCCCTTTCGTGACTGTCCTCACCCTAAATGGACTCGGCAAATGGCTATATCTATCCTTCTAGTCTGAAAAGAAGCACAAGCCCCCTCCCACCGCATACGTGTTGCTCCTGGCTCACATGTTCATTTCTTTCCAGTCTTTCATAAAATTACATCATGCTCTCTATGTATATTTCACCCTTGTTTGATACTATGCTGTCCCTTGTAACTATGAAAGTCTGCCCTTTCTTTTGACGAGGCCTCAAGCACCCTGTCCTCAAGACTTCTTTCCAGACACATTTACACGGCTGGAAACTTCCTTGACCTTTTCTATCTCCTATCGGTCGCTGACCTGTTTCTCCTGCCTCTTTAGTAATGGTGCACAGGGCTTACCCACGGCTCGTCCCTAGAATCATACCGTGTGGGTGGACATACGTAGGGTAGGGGAAATGCCAGGAGCGCCCCCCCCTTCCCC